AGTCTTGTATTTAAGCCTTCGATTCCTAATTCGGTATCTAGATCAGCGAAACGTAACGTCATAATACACAACAAAGACAGATCATTCTTTTGAAACAGGTGAAACCAGTGCGGGCAAAAGCAGCATCATTAACTTAATTCTTGGAGAAGATCTTTTGCCATATTCAATTCTCAGCACAACCTCAACGATATGCGAATTGAAATATGGCAAGAAGCCTGGGATAGGGATACACTTTAAAGATGGCCCAGGAGAAAGTCGTGAGCCTATCTACAAAGAGCTTGGTCATTCCTCTGCGACTTATAAAGAGGAGATAAAAGGCTTTGTTAACTTAAAGGATGAGCGAGATAAAGGGTCTCCTTACAAGAAAATAGAGCTGTTTTGGCCACATCCGTTGTTCCAGGTAAAATTAAATTTCTGAAAGGAAATGCTCGCACAAGATCCATTTTGAGACCAGTTTTTTTTTTTTTATCAAGTTTGTTAAACGTGCAGTAGTCAGAAAGATGTCAGGGTTGAGACGCAAATTGCTCGTTAACCGCTATTTAGCCCTATTCGGACCCTCTACTCTGGCATTCCNATGTCGCGGTTGAGACGCAAATTGCTCGTTAACCGCTATTTAGCCCTATTCGGACCCTCTACTCTGGCATTCCTTGTTGAGTTTCGCAAATTCAGAAACTTATTCTGCTCATAGAGGCCCCTTCACACTTAGTGCAAACTCTTCAGGAGTTTCTGTAATCATCAGAATTTTTACCAAGTGAAGTGTTTGTCTTGCCTCAAACGTAACCTTACCCCAAACCAGCAGAGGACCAGAACCTGTCTTTTAGTAGGCTTCTCCCCCTTAACCGAATTGGAATGTTTGAACCTATAGCTGCAGAGGACATAGCTCTTAATTAGGATCATTAAGGCAAGCAAGCTTTATCACCTGGCTGGCAGCAGGGTGGCATAAATACGCAGTAGGGTGATAATTTGTGTATTTCCAAACACTAATGTTTACTCCGTGTCCAATCATTTTTATTGCACGTGAATGTATGTGAGAAAATGCCTGTGATACAAGATTACTCTATTCAGACGAAGTGTTAAACGAAGCCACCGCAGCCGTGATTTTGGTCAAATACGACGATACAAATTAAAATCGGTTCCTATAGATTTTATACCGTAATAGCAGCAGCTTCNAAGCCCATACGTAACGTATGTAAACAAGTATACGCGGCAGAAAAACCCGCGTATACCCTGTCGTAATTTTGAAACGAATGGCCAACCATGATGGTTGGGCTTCAACTTGAGGAACTGCCCATTACATATAGTTGTTTTCTTTTCAAGCTGACAAGCCCATAAACTGCTCTCGACCACTTTAACTCTCCAGAACCTCGGTCAGTATTAAATAAAATCATGTGTTTTGTATGGCTTAGTTGTAGAGAATGTTTCAACCTATTGTTTTATAACCAGGACCAAAGTAATCACTGTAGCCAATCTTCTGAATGGACAAAGACAATCAAGTGAAATAATCAAAAGGTGAAGCAAATTCATGTAACCTGCGCTCAGAGCGGAAAACTTGTGCCAGCAAGTCTTGATTGGTCTAAAGTTAAGTTCTGAGTGATTGCAAAAATGGCACTAGTCTTTTTAAACTAATCATTAACCGTAGGAATGCGCAACCAACTACTTTCGGCATTCAAGCGTCAACAGCTCTGACAATTTATTAGGACCTCTGAAAGCTTCCAACAGAGCGTGCTAATTTTTTTATTGTGCCTTTTAACAGCTTGGTTTGTTACTCAACCACGCCAAAAAGTTGAAGAAGGAAGCAAATCTGGACCTCAAGTTGTTCACGTCTTGTGCATTATTCGTTTGCAACATGTGGGATAAAATTCCTGCTAACAATGTTGAAGAAGTGAAGAAGACACAGATTGAGAAACTCACCAAGAAGTTAAAAGGCCTCGATGAGCAGTCACAGATCATTTATTTGTCGTGCCAAAGAGCTCAGCTCGCTCAGACGTATGGTGTTATTACTGAGGACTTTGACCAGCTGTTAAGTGGTATAAGCAATCTTGTAGTCTCATCCATGCAGAGCAGCCTAGAAATTTATTCGAGGTAAGTAACACAGAGAGCTTAGAAAAAAGCTTGCTTCGAAGAAACGACTTTAGTCAATCGCAAGCAACTATTGTTTAAAGATCCGTGAAAGGAGAAACTCGTGCAGCTTACAATCAGCCCTTACTGAAAGAAACAGAAAAAAGTAACATTTTCTGATCTGAATGAAATGGGGTTAATGAAGTGTGGATCAGAAAGATTTTCGCTAAAAATTCACCACAGCTAGGCGAAGTTTGTTTACTATTTAGCGTTACTATTTGCTGAAACGTCTACTCAAAATATGCCGGTTGTCACATAAATGACTCGGATACGTGGGTCGCTGGTAGTGAACTGATAAGTGAAAAACAGAATTCAGAACACGGACATCATCCAACATTACGTAAAATAGATCGATCGAGCAATTGTTAAGAGCTCTTCATGCATATGACTTGACAAGCATTTGTGTTCTTTGTCAGAAAGAAACTGTTCTCGGTGAACCAAACACGGCATTTCAGGCGTTTGCTATAGTATCGAACATTAAAATCATTGATTAAAGGAGAATCACAGATGTGATGTAACAATAGGCTTAATTTAGAACTCAAAATCTCGTCCTCTTCCACCTCAACCGTGATTAATGGCATTCTATGTTTAATTAACCTATCGTTACTGACTTGTTCACATTTGCAGTTGGCTGGAGAATCTGCTGTCTAAGACCTCTCATCAAGTCAGAGTACTGTTGAAATCAGCGACCATGTCACGCCAGGAAACAGAGAAGAGAATGAAAAGAGTAATGGATAGGATGGTAGAATTGGAAAGTTCACAGGATCGTATTTTTGACGAGCTCAGTGAATGTCAGTTACAGGTGATAAAAGAGATTCTTGAAAAACTTGCGAACTACTTTAAATCAGCGGAAACTTCCGAAAGATTCAGCAAGTGGTCTCCTTCTCAAGTGCCCCAAGCTGGTGAGACGTGGGAGAAAACTAAGAGCGAAGTGTTGAAGTGCATTTCAGAAAGAGCCCAAAAGTTTGTTCAGGAATGGGAAGATCAGGAAAATCATTTTGCTAAAGGCGAGGTTTCGCTTCTCAAGTATTGTACTGAAAAGTATGATATCATGGAGGACGAAATCCGAAAAGTGGAAGAAGTTGTTCTTTGTGACGAAACTGAGCAAGAACGTCCAACGCATGAGCCCTCTAGACCGCCAAGATCTCTAAAGAAGTCGTCCAAAACGTCCATAGATGTCACCACTTCAGTATGGTTTCGTCAAGGTCTGGCCTCGATCGTAATTGGTGCGCCGTTCATTGGCAATCTTACGCAAAAATTCAAGCAGAACGTCCAATACAGAAAGAAACTTCAGAGTTACATCAATGATCCATTCCCTTACATGGGAAAGAGGTCTAAGAAGTGTCTTAAAATCATTGCCAGTGAGGACAGGCTGCTTCCGTTCATAACCGGACAGTTAGGAGATGCAGTCCAATTCCTCACAGAGATCAAGACAAAGATACCACGACTGAGAGAAGGCGATAAAAAGTTATATCATCAGCTGCTCACCGAGTCTAGGTGCAAACTCGAAACCCAGGGGATTTACCAACCGGTCAGCCTGCAGTTGGAGAATTTAAAACGAGACATTACAGTGTTCATCATCAAAGAGATCAGGAAATCAGATTTCTCAAGGGGAGAGTTGAAGTGGAGCGAAGACGAGAAATCCTTCATTGGAAGAGGAACCTTCTCGACCGTGTACCCTGGAGTTCTTTCTCGCAAAGGGAAACCAGAAATTAAGGTGGCACTCAAGGTGTACAACAATCCTTTAGAAAGTCACAACGTGTGGCATTTTATTGACGAGGAAAGGGCGCTGAGGTATGTTTTCCCAGATAATTTTTTTGTGTGTGTGGATATTTATTTTTCTTTGAAAAATAGTTCAGTTCATGTCACGCACAGACCCAATTAATGTCAAAAAACGGCTTTGTAGTTATTTGAGGCATTTCCTCGACCGGTCTCCTCCTCTCTACTTGCATTTTAAAGCAACCAAATCATTTTAAGGGGATTATGGTAATTTTCTTTCAGTCTGGAGAAAGGTAATTCGTAAGTCATCACCATTTGCACAATATCAATTAAGCTTTATTACTGTCTGCTTGTCAAAGATAACGGATCTTCCAGAGAAAAATAATGCAGATACGATATTTCCTGATCGCAGGTAGCGACTATTTTAAATAAAGTTCAACTTTGTATCGAAATAGCTTATTTCTATATATGTCATCTTTCTCTCAGAGAATTGCGTCACCCAAACATTGTAGAGTTCTTTGGAACCAATCTTCAACAGTCATTGTCTGGAACCAAAGTCATGGTCATCTTAGAGCTCTGTGAGTGCTCCCTTAAAACTCACATCATGTCTCATCCTGAGAATGCCCCTGCCCGCTCAGAAGACGCAGCTGTAAGGACAAATGTACTGCTCTGGGCTATCCAAATTCTTGATGCGTTGTGCTATGTTCATGACCAAACATTTGTCCACCGAGACCTAAAACTGGACAATTTATTGGTAAGTAAAACTCTCGCCCATGACTCGCGTAACCCTTGGAAAATTCTACTCCATATAGATAGTTGACTCAACCCAAATTTGAAATTAGCCAATCAGAAGCCGTGTCCACTGTCCTGATATCCTGTAATCATGTAATCTTCTGAATATCGCCTGATGTCGTTTGTCCTCTGGGCAATGTTCATTTTCCTACCGCGGATGCAAATTAAGGAATAATCTCTCCGCCGTCTACTGTTGCGCTTCTAAGTTGGAAAAATCTGCATGGGAAAAATTTTGATTTTATTTAATTTTAATTATTTTTATATAGCTCCAGTGTATTGTAGTTCTAGTACATTTTT